TGCTCTGTTGCCCAAGCTGGAGTGCAGTGGCTCGATCTCGGCTCACCGCAACCTCTGCCTCCTGGGTTCAAGAGATTCTCCTGCCTCAGCTTCCCAAGTAACTGGAATTACAGGTGCCTGCCATCATGCCCGGCTAATTTTTTTATTTTAGTAGAGACTAAATAGTTCCACCATGTTGGCCAGGCTGATCTCAAACACTTGACCTCAGGTGATCCACCCACCTTGGCCTCCCAAAGTGCTGGGATTATAGGCATGAGCCATCGCGCCCGGCCTGCTGCAGGCTCTTAAGTACCCCATCCCTGCGGCTCTGGCTGCTGTCCCCCACCCAGGCCTCTTCCCTTCAGTCAGCAACTATAGGGTTAACGTCTGGTGCAGCTGGTGAGCACACACATGCATGCATACACACTGCTCTGGCCCAGGGGCACGCTGTCCCAGTTGTTTATAATTTCAACTTCTAGTTTAGATTCGGGGTTACCTGTGCAGGTTTGTTACACGAATGTACTGCATGACGCTGAGGTTTGGATGACGTATGATCCTGTCACTCAGGTAGTGAACACGGTACCCAATAGTTAGTTTTTCCACCCATGCCCTCCTCCCGCCCTCCCCCACCCATAGTTCCCAGTGTCTCCTGTTCCCATCTTTATGTCCCTGTCTCAGTCGCTGAATGTTGTGACTCTCGCCCCTACCTGTAAGCTCCAGCATGATCCCAGCTCCACCTCGCCTGGCCTCTCGTGCTGTCTGCACTGCGCCCACTCTGGCCTTCCTTCAACCCTCTGCTCCTTTCCCTGCCTCTGGGGCTTTGCACAGGCTGCTCTCTAAGACCAGCATATTCTCCCTCGCTTCACCTCATTCGCCCCTGCTCCTCCCTCAGCTCAGCTGTTTCTTCCTCATGGTAGCCTTCTCTGACCTCTGACTCTAAGGAAGTCCTCTCATATACTCTCTGCCTTCCATTCATGCTTCCTAACATAGTTTTTGGTATGCATATCTGTTTATGTCATTATTTGATTAATAGCTGTCACTGCCAATAGATTACAGTTCAGAGTGGATAAGGACCATGATTTTAAAATGAAATTATTCTATTCCTTCAGCCCAGCTCTCCATATACATGTGGAGATGCACAGGAAGTACATTGGACACAGCCATCTAAAGTGCAAACAATAAATTTTAAAATTGGCATTCATATAAGGGGGCTCATGTATGCATGCATGTGTGTGTTCTTACATATAAATTTCTTCTTTCCTGTAGACATGGTAATGATAATGATGATAGAACATTAGTAGGCACAGTCTATGCAACAAGGAACTGCCCTGAATATTCAGACGTCTCTTATATAAGCCAAGAGTTCCTCTTTCTACACTACTTAATTACTTCCTATTATGGCAAACAGTATGCATTCTTTCCACAAAAACATACTATTTGAAAGTGTGTTACTTATGTAAGGATAAGTATTTGCCCTGTTACCACCACCACAGTCCATCAGCTCAGAAGATTCAAGCTGAAAGCAAATTATCTTGCCATGACCCCGGGACAACAGCTTGCTTTTATGTGTGTTTTAAAGAGCAGAAAGCTCTAGTAGCATTAAGAGGCTGGCCCTGTGCACATTAAGCAGATGCAGGATCGTCCCGCTGGGTGCACTCATGGGTTTCATGCAGGCATGGGTTCAGTCACTGGAGTCCTTCCCCCACTACCAGGACTCTCCCGCCAACAGCAAAACCAAACTGCCCTGTGCAACCAGAATGAGGTTCAGAGAACCCTGATCAGCTCCTTTCCAGGCGCAGTCACCCGCAGCTACCTATCCTGCTCAGCCATAGACCATAAGACAGGGACCAACGGGGCCACATCTGGCAGCTGTGGGAATTAACCAGCAGCAAGGGGCTTTGCGCTCGATGCATCCTGTCTTTCGTTCCCTTCTGACACTCATTGCCTAACTTGCAGCAGTATCCTCTTTGAAAGAGAGGCCAGGCTTAGCCAGGACTGCAGTCTTGAGTCTGAGGCAGGAGCCTCCCCTCAACCTCGAGCAGGGCTGACAGCCACTTGTCACTGGCGCTGAGCCGATCGGAAATGGTGTCAATAAAGTGCAAATAATGCCTCAGTGCTTGCTGCTCTCTGAGCCCAAAATGAACCGAAGAGGTGCTCTGAGGAGAGAAGGCAGAGTGACAAGGCAGTTACACCAAGGCCTCTCCAACGGGAGACCAATCAGGACATAGCTATTCCCCCGGTGGCATCAAAATCTTCCAATTTCACACAGAAAATGAGTCCTGGCTCAAGTCTCACACACGTTCAGTTGTCCCCATTTTAGCTGAATGGATTCCTTTGACAGCTAAAATCTTAACCCTTGGAAGGCCTCTGAAGGTGTGATTCACCTCCACTGAGAACTGCACTGCAGAGAAACACATCTGCAATTCTCCAGTCATAGCAAGAACAAAGAAAGCCTCCAGGTGTGCATCTCTGCAAGCCCAAGAACACATCCCAGGTGGAGAAAGTGAGCAATCCCCCTGCCTATGGGGGGCTGGGGCAACACAGCTGGAGCCTGTGCAGCTGCTTCTGGAGGTGTGGTGCTAAGAAGGTCCCAGACCCTGTCTCCCGAACAACTCTCACACCAGGACCCTCACCCTGCCCCCAGACTTTGCTGCATCCACCTCTTGGCATCAAAAAATGGGCTCAGACTTTCAACCTGCTATGCAAAGGTCAGCCTGAGCGGATGCTTGGTTACAACCACTACAATGTCCTTTGGGCTGTGGATATGTGGATGTTGGCATTTCTGGGTGGAGGGATGAGAAAAGGGGCGGAGGGCCTGGTCCCTCATCCAGTTTGCAAATTCCAGTCAGGTCCACATACCTCACTTCCCCTCTAAAGTGCACTGCCAGAGGCTTTGCTTCCTATCACACACCTACTTCTGTTTCCTATCACACACCACACTGCTCCATTCTCTCTGATCTTTTAGCTGTGAATTTCTGCCACTGCAAGACCATCTTAATCCAAATGGGGTCTCAGTCCTAGCAGTAGGGGCAGGTAGTACTTTGCATTTTATTTATTTATTTATTTACTTACTTATTTATTATTTATTTTTATTATTATTTTTTGAGACAGAGTTTCACTCTGTTGCCCAGGCTGGAATGCAGTGGCGCGATCTCAGCTCACTGCAATCTCCACCTCCTGGGTTCTAGCAATTCTTCTGCCTCAGCCTCCC